TCCATCTTCTATCCGCCTCCCACTCTCTCCCTATTTATTTCAGAACCCCCTTCCCTTCCCCCATTTCTGATGAAGTGTCCAGGTCCGAAACGTCAGCCTTCCTGCTCTTATGATGCTGCTTGGCATGCTGTGTTCATCCAGCTCTGCACTATGTAAAAAGATTAACGTTCTATATAATGAACACTTAAATCCGAGGCTGTTGTACGTATCAGTTCTCATATCAATTATTGTTGAAAATACCCAGATTTACAAATATTTTCCAACAAGCCTAACATGTTGAATTACCAGATAACTGGGAGAAGGGTACGAAACAGATTGCAGCTTCCAAAGGCCGTTAATGAGCATGTCTAGTTAACTGAATTGATGGAGGTCACCCCAAACAAGTATTCAATGTAATCATTCCATTGTTTTATGAACAACATGCAGAGATAATAACAATACAAATAACGTCCTTTCATCAATGGTAATAGCAATCTTTAATCATTCCCTACAGCATACTCTTTAAAAATAAATTTGAAGTTTATATTTGAAATTAGTTTTTGTCCTTTGCAAGGTTAAGAGATCATGCCATTGAGAAGTGGACCTGAAATTTGAAATCATTTACAACTGTTCTTAGATTAGAAGAATTTGCAAGAAATAATTTTGTCCTAAATTTTTTTGGTGCAGGAATGTTTCAGTATTAATCTAAACTTGTCCAAATTAAATTTTCTGACTCAACAAGAACCTATCCATTGCACAAAAAAGTATGGAAAATATTTAACAATTTAATTACTTGTGGTGCACCGACCATATAAACAGCAGTTATACATAATTGTGAGCATTTACTGACTTGTTCCGCCTTCTGATGAAAGACAGCAGACATATCAAGCAAGGTGCTACGTTCATCCAATGCTGCTGCAAATGCTTTCCACTCCAGGTCCAGCTGACTGGCAATCTGCTTGATTTGCTGAGAGGCATAATGGTTAGATTCCAGTAAACGATTGGCCACTGACATTATGCGGTTGATGTTTACATATACATTCTGTGGAAAAACACAAAATAATTTGTCGAATAAACAATCCGGTATCCAAATGGTAGCCTGCTTGAATAGGTGCAAAACTGCATGAAATGCATCTTCACATTCAAAAGTTTACGTATTCTGGAAGAATCTGAATTTAACTGTCTACCTTTTTTAAACAAAGGCAGGGAATTAAATCGTTAAATGTAAATTTCTTTTTTGTTAACTGAAATTGACACCTATATAAACAAAAAGGCTACTTAAAAATTTTATCACATAGCCCACAGAACCTTTCTTCAGATTAGCAACTGAAGTAGTTAGTTAGTGTTAGAATATAACAGGCTTTCTCTGAACAGACAGCTGTGTTTTTACAGTGAAGTCAAATATTAAGAACACCTCACCACTGTAATTGAAATAATGAAGTCTGAACATCCACTACAATCCTGTGGTTCCGTCAATCATAAGCAAGACCAGACGCAAATATTAGGAATATTTGCAGTGTACTTTTGAAATGGGTCCCTGCTGAAAAAATTCAAACACTTGCACACCAGCTACTACTATACAATGAAAGCAACAAATGTGACCAAGTTCCAAGCTGTGCATTGAAAGAAATGAGCACAATTAATATTAGTAAATCACTTTGAAAAACCTTGCAACAGTTGGTGATGCTGTAGAAATAACATTACAAGGCAGATTGAAAACAACAGCAAAAATTATTGGACAGCTCAAAACATTACCCCTTGCGATAAACTGGTGTTGCCTCCTACATTTAATCAAAAGCACTACCTCCCAGAAATTATAGAACATAGAAACAATAAGACAAAACATGGAGAAAGAAAGCCCAACGATGCAAAAAATATGGAAGAGAAAATATTTGGAAACCAACAAATAGACAGTAGCATAAACAGCATTAAAATGGAAAAAATAGAACACCTAAAAGTTATAAAGCAATGAAGCTAATTCTTCTGTTATATATTTTGAACATTACCATTTAATAACCACAGTCTGCTTATGATATCTGAGTGGATCAGTATTGCACCATATTTCAGTATTCCAACTGTCTAATTAGAATATCAACCACGATTGGGTTCAATTTAAGGCGATCTTGGTACCATTTAAAATATGCCACTTTGGTAAAAATCTGAGTTCCAAACTAAAGCATATGCATTTGATATTACAATTGATGTAAACTAATATCAATCATGTATTTTCTTTTATTCATCCACAGGGTATGGGCATCATTGGCTAGGCCAGCATTTATTGCTTATCACTAATTGCCCATTGGGAAAAACTGTAATAGAAACCTTAAAAAAATCATATAAAGGTCTTATAGTTTTACCATTAAACATTCAATTCCTCCTCTATTCTCTCCTAAAACAGATTGCTTCCTGTTTCTCTCCATTAAATTTTATACAACCAATCTACTAACCTATGTCCTACTGGAAATGCTTCCAATCCTCTTCACAAGTAAATAATTTCTTTGAAAAAAGGAGAATATGCACACAAAAAAAAAGAGGGAGATCAAGAAAGAGGAGCTATGATATGAACTGTCTGTATCTCTCCAAACCAAAAGATAAACTTTGATTAGCTATTTTCTTCCTACAGCTAACCTCTTATCCATGCTGGCATACTCCACTGCATTTGCACAACTCAGTTATTTCCTCCAAAAATTCAAACTCCTAGAATACATAACTCAGCTTTACAAACTCCATTGTGGCTACTTTTAACTTACAACTTTCTAATTTGACATTTTTAAAATCCAAATTACAGCCGCTTGAACATCTGTCATTACTAATGTATGATTAGATTATATATATGATTAACTGCTTTATCTTTTGTGGTCAAAACTTTTCTGTTTCTACTATTTCATAATGCAAGGCATTAAGGTCCAGTCTCACAGAACAAGACAGGTTTACAACACAGAAAGGAGCCATTGAAGCTACACTTCAAGCCAGCTCTTTGTACAAAAAGTCAAAAACACTCCCATTGCCTCATGTCTCTGCAAGAAACAGTCACCTGCACGCAACAATTAACCAAATTCCTTTGTAAAGATGTAGATCATTAAAATTCCTTCTAATAAAATATACCTTCCTCCAGTACTGACATTTTAATTTCTCCTCATTGTCTTTAATTTGACAGCCATAAATCACGAACACTGACTTCATAACAAGAGAAATAAGAAGTAACGAAATAATAAGTCTCCACTACTCTGGGAAAAAGATCTTAGCAATTCACTTTAACTATGACCTCATGATTTTAAAAATCTCTACAAAGTCACTTGTCAGCCTCTGACGTTCCCAGGAAAATAGCCCCAGCCTATTCAGCCGCTCCTTATAGCTCAAACCCTGCAACCCTAGCAACATCCTTGTAAATTTTCGGAGATAGCAAGACCTGCAGATGCTGGAGTCAGAGTCAATACAGTGTGGAGCTGGAGGAAGTCAGCAGGTCAGGCAGCATCAGAGGAGCAGGAAAGTCAATGTTGCGGGTTTATATAAATAATTTGGAAGTGAATACAGGAAGTATGGTTACTAAGTTTGCAGATAACACCAAAATAAGTGGTTTAGTGGACAGCAAAGAAGGTTACCTCAGAGCACAACAGGATCTTGATCTGATGGGCAAATGGGCCTTGGAATGGCAGATAGAGTTTAATTTCGATAAATGTGAAGTGGTGCACTTTGGTCAGGTAAATCAGGGCAGGACTTAATTCACTTAATGCTAAGGTCCTGGGAAGCGTTGCTGAACAAAGAGGCCTTGTGGTGCAGGCTCACAGTTCCTTGAAAGTGGTGTTGCAGGTAGACAGGGTGGTGAAGGTGGCGTTTGGAATGCTTGTCTTTATTGATCAATGCATTGAGTATAGGAGGTCACATTGTGGGTGTACAGGACATTGGTCAGGCTACTTTTGGAATACTGTGTTCAATTCTGGTCTCCCTGCCATAGCAAGGATGTTGTAAAACTTGAAAGGGTTCAGAAAAGATTTACAGTTCTCCAGGGTTGGAGGGTTTGAGCTGTAGGGAAAGGCTGAATAGGCTGCGGCTATTTTCCCTGGAGCTTTGGAGGCACAGGAGCAACATTATAGAAATTTATAAAATCATGAGAGGTATGGATAGTGTGAATAGCCAAGGTCTTTTCCCCAGGATAGGGGAGTCTTAAACTAGGTGTGAGGCAGAAGATTTAAAAGAGACCCAATGGGCAACTCTCTCCTACAGAGGGTGGTGAGAGTGCATGGAATGAGCTTCCAGAGGTGGTGATGGAGGCTGGTATAATAACAATACTAAAAGGTATCAGCATGGTTACATGAATAGGAAAAGGCTTAGAAAGATATGGGCCAAACGCTGACAAATGGGACCAGATCAGTTCAGCATATCTGGTCAGCAAGGACATATTGGACAGAAAGGTCTATGCTGCACATCTCTATGACTCACTAACATTCCTCCTCTATTCACATCCAAATCATTTATATAAATGACAAAAATTAGTGGACCCAGCACAGATTCTTGCAGCACATCGCTGTCCGAAAAATAATCTTCCACTCTTGTCTGTCTCCTACCTTCAAGCTAATTTTGTATCCAAATGGCTACCTCTCCCTGGATTCCATGTGGTGTAACTTTGCTAACTATTTTACCATGTGGGACCTTGTCCAACACCTTGCTCAAGTCTATACAGACAAGGTTGACTGTTCTGCCTTCATCAGGAGATACTAAGAACTGCCGATGCTGGCAGTTGACCAGGAAACTTTCCTGCTCCTCTGATGCTGCCTGGCCTGCTGTGTTCCTCCAGCTCCACACTGTGTAATCTCTGCCTTCATCAATCCTCTTTGAAATTTATGCAAAAAAACTCAACCAAATTAGTGACACATGATTTCCCACACACAAAGCCATGTTCTCTATCCCTAATCAGTTCTTGCATTTCCAAATACATGTAAAATCCTGTCCCTCAGAATCCCCTGCAACAACTTATCCACCACTGAAGTCAGGCTCATCAGTCCATTGTTTGCTGGCTTTTCCTTACCACCTTTCTTAAACAAAGGCACTAGATTAGCCACCCTCCAGTTTTCTGGCACCTCTCTGCTTGAAGGAATTTCTCTTCATCTCAGTCTTAAACAGCCTCTCCTTAAACTGTGACTTCCCGGTCATTAAAAGCATTTTTCCTGCGTTTATTCTGTCTAGTCCTGTTAAAATTTTATAAGCTTCTATGAGATCCCCCCTTCATTCTTGTATACTCCGGTGAATATTGTTCTAACCTATCCAGTTCCTCTTCATTTTTCAGTCCTGCCATCCCAGGAATTAGCTTTGTGACTGGGAGGAAGAATCTCTAACTAGAAAGGTTCAGAATTGATGAAGAAGTAGTGTTGGGTACACTGGTGGTAACTTAAAGTTGACAAGACACTGGAACGGAATGAAATGCTTCCAATGCATTTTAAGGAAGTGGCGGCGGTAATTGGAGGGGCACTGGCCATAAATTTTCAGTCTGCCTTAGATTCGGAGAAAGTGCCAGAAGACTGGAAATTTGCAAACATCATATAACCTTGTTTCAAAGAGGTTGTAAGAATTGGCCCAGCAATTCCAGACTGTCAGGGCTGTAGAGAATAGTTCTTTTTTGAAACTTGACATACATACACATTGGAGTTCCCAAAAAGTCAGTTTCACAATCATTGTTTTTCTTAATATAGATTAATGATCCACACTGGGATATGCAGGGCACAATTTGAAAATTTACACATGTTATAAAACCTGGAAATGTTGTGAACTATGGAAATGGTGATAAAGTTCATGGAGATGCTGACAGGCTGTTGGAAAGGGCAGGCACATAGGTTGAAACAAGGCATTTTTAAAAAATTCATATCAATAACTTTCCCCTTCTTTCAAGAAACTATCAGAGCAAGTGAAAGAGTATCAGATGATTGGTCACAGGTATTTAACTTTATTTCCCTCTTCACAGATACTGCCAGACCTATTGAGTAATTACATTTCTCTCAGAAGAAATCACACAAAACGCTGTCAATCATTTACTTAAAAACAGGGGGA